AGCATCTCTTCAAAATTTCCTAAACTCTGCCCACCTTGCAGATGACATCAAAGGGAAACAGAGGTAAGGGCAGGAGAACTTCTTCATCAGCCCATCAATAAACCCACCCGCCCACATGCAGGTACATTTATATCCTCTCTTTCCTCTCCTAGGGCAGTGAAAGAAATGTCCTTACTTCCGCCCAAGGCCAGCCATTCACCTGTACCATGAGTCACCTGCACCTCGTCACCTACAGGATCTCAACTGGTAATTGTCCCCTTTCTGTCCTATTTACCATTTCCTCCCTTAATTGGCTCATGCCCTTTAGCATTCAACCTGTTTATGCACGTCTTAAAATATATATAAAAGTTTGTAAATAATATTTTTATTTGTAAATCTATAAATTTGTAAATAATAAGTACTATTTGCAAATAATAAATACTATGAATAATACATAATATAAATTAAATAAATCTATAAAATTAAATATTTTAAAATGTATATTATAGTCTGCAGTGATACATATAAGAAGGGAATGGAACATGACTAACTAGAATTTATTTTGGGGAACCATGGTTGATTTATGATCTGCAAATCAAACTTTCTTCATCATGCAATAGAAACGATCTCAATAAAAAAGAAAAGGTATTTGATAAAATGTAGTTCACATTCATGTTTAAAACTTCCAGCAAGGGAGGAAGCTCCCTTATCGCAATAGAGAATATCTACAAATAGCCTACACCAAAAACATCAGATGAAATTTAGAAATATTATAAAAGCTTCCCTGTGAACTGAGGAAAAGACAAGGATGTCCATTATCATTTATTCACTCAACAGTGTTATCAATGCACATGCCAAGGGCATAGAAATAAAAGGTAAGAAGATTGGAAAGCAAGAAATAAAGCTATTATTTTTAGTAAATGACATGATTGTAAACATTGAAAATCTACCGGAGTTAATAAGCAAATTTAGCAAGGTCACTGAACACAAGGTTAATAATAAATTGTATTTCAGATACAAGCAACAAACTACTAGGAAATAAATTTTTGATAAATAATACCACTTGCAATATTATCAAAAACATCAAATGCCTAGGAATAAATCTAAAGATAGATATGTTAGATCTCTATGCTCAAAATTACATTAAAAACAAAGAAGAAAATTAAAGGATACTTAAATAAACCAGGAAAAATAAATAATGTATGAATTGAAAGAGCAAATATTTTTTAAAAAGGTAAATCCCCCCCAAATAAACCAAAAAAATAAACCAAAAAATCAAACGTAACCAATAAAAAAGCCAAAAAGTTAAAAAAAAAAAACGAAAAACCAAATAAGAAAATGCAAAAAGCCAACCAAAACCAAAAAAAAAAAAAAAAATTTATTATTACTGCATATTCGGTATAAAGTTATAGTAATTAACAGTGTGGTAAATGTGCCAGGGAATATAAGTAAATGAATGGAAAACAGTCAAGTAACCCATCCCTGTCTGGTGACTTGGTTAATAACACATGTGGTACCACTGTACTGCTGGGCTGTTCTCATCTGGTTCCCTGAATCTTCTTCTTCATGAGAACTATTAGAGCCTTCTGTGTCTAGTCCTTAGTCTGTGGCTTCAACCTCATCCCTCCAAAGCTCCTTCCTTCCAGTCCTTGGTTTAAACAGCATCTACAGGCCAAGGATTTGCATGTGGGTTGCTGGACTTCTCCTTAGTCTGAACTTCTCTCCTGAACTCCAGATTCATCTCCTATTCAACAGCTCTATTTGAATCACCAACAGGCAGCTCAAAGATAACAAGGGTAAGATAAATTTCCTGTTTTTCATGAGGAATCTGTTCCTATTCAGATCTCTCTATCCCAATGAAAGACACAGGATCCTAATTGCTCAGCCAACAATCCAGAAGTCATTATTTATTTTCCTGTTTCTTTTAGCCAGGGGGGCAGGCATATTTTCCAAACAAGGCCAACTGGATTCTCTCCCAGCACTTTGTTTTTTTTTTTTGGTTTTGTTTTTGTTTTTTAAAAAAAATATATTTATTTTTTAGTTGTAGTTGGACACAATGCCTTTATTTTATTTATTGATTTTTACGTGGTGCTGAGGATCGAACCCAGGCCTCCCATGTTCTAGGCAAGTGCTCTACCGATGAGCCACAACCCCAGCCCCTTTGAATCTTGAGTAGGTGACACAATGTTAGACAATTGGTTGGAGCTGACTCATCTCGACCCAGATGGCCTCAAGAGCTTTTCTATTAGTCCCTGCTACCCTGATTCCCAGAACAATCTTTGTCCTAAGCCCAGCTTCTTCAGCTTTGCTTCAGCTGAAAACCATCCCACATCTTTACAGTGAATTGCTTTTTTGCTCAAATTTCTTTTTCTTTTTTTTCCTGGTACCAGAGATTGAGCCCAGGGGCACACAACCACTAAGCTACATATCCAGCTGGGGTGTTTTATTTTTTTGTTTGTTTATTTTGTTTCATTCTGTGGGTACTAGGGATTGAACTCAGGGACACTCTACCACTGAGCCACATCTCAGCCTTATTTTGTATTTTATTTAGAGACAGAGTCTCATGGAGTTGCCTAGCACTTTGCCTTTGCTAAGGCTGGCTTTGAACTCTCAATCCTCTGGCCTGGACCTCCTGAGCCACTGGAATTACAGGTATGTGCTACCACATCTGGCTTTAGCTCAAATGTTGAATGAGTCCTTGTGTTGTTTTCAAAAAAGGAAACTCTTCCAAAGTGGATAAGAAAATGATAAGTCAGTGCCTGTATTATAAAGACTTAGCTAACTTCCTGTTCATTAGTCAATCAACTGTATTTGGCATGATTACTATGCATGGATCACAGGATGACACTACTTCTCTGCCAAGGTTTTTTCAGGGACTTCTCTCCATTCTTCTCCATCCAAATTTATCAGGGTCATACCAAAGACAAATTCTGCCTTGAAGCCTTTCAAAGAGCCATAAGAAATCAATAACCTCAGGGAGTTCTCAATTCCCTCAGTAGTTTTCTGGGATTTTGTTTTTGTTTTTTGTTACCATTTGCTCGGTCATTTTGTCAATTTTTAAAAATGTTTCATGTATTGTGGTGGATTATTTGTAAAACTAGCCACAAGGAGTCCTCAGCCTGGCCTTGGCAATACTGACTTTGCCAAGTCTCCCACCAGAGGTGGAGCCTATTTTTCCACTCTTTGAATCTGAGCCTGACCTCATGATTGGCTTTGGCCAATGGGATATTAGAAAATATGATTCAGGCCGAGGCTGAAAAAGCACTTACTCATGAAGTCTGTTTCCTTCACTGCTGGGAACCCTTCCACCCAGGCATGAATACAGGGCTATTAGCAGAAGAGAAAGAAGCTGCAAGTCCCTGGTAGATGACTTTAGATGGCTGATTTGATATTGCATATAGCTTCAATTAAATTGGCTCAGATTAGAACTTCCTGACCAGTCCACAGAATCATGAAAATAAACATATTCTGGTGACGGGGGCCAAGGGAACATTCCATTTCTGGGAGGAGCTTATTAAGCACTTACTTTGTGAGGTACCTTATACACATATTTTTTATCACTCATAGTCATGTCCTCTAACACAAGTATTGCCATTACTCCTCCCACTCATGGAGAAAACCAAGAAGAATACCTAGCGCGACTGGCCTGATGGAGAAGGGATTAAAACCCAAGCCCTCTGCCCCCCAGTGCTGGCAAAGAAACCAAAGTGGGCAATGATTATATGTGGGTATGTTTCTGAGTGTGTGAAGGGTAGCACTGATGTAATGGGGAGAAGAGCAACAGATCAGGAACCAGAGGCCTGGTGCCACCACTGACTTTATTCATTACTACATTCAACAGATATTTCTTGAGCCCTTACTCTGTGCAGGGTAAGAGTCAGGATGAGGCAGGAAAAAAGACAAACACACCTGCCTCATGGAGTTTATATTCTTGTTAGCACATGAAAGACAACAAACAAAATAAATTCTGCTTCTTAAGTTTCACAGGACAGCTATAGGGGCTGGTATGGGGGGAAGAACAGGGACTTTGAAGTAGGGATTCTTGGGTGTGAGTACTGGCTCTGTCAGTTTCTGTCCGTGTCACTGTGGGAAAAGCCCTTGGCCTCTCTGAGATTTTGTTTCTTCAGGTATAGAATGGGACAAGTATCCCCACCAACTAAGTTTGTTAGGATGAACAGAGGCTACCATGTGTGTAAAACCCCGAGTAACAGGCACCATCTATAGGGAAGTTATTAGTGACATTAGTGACACTGTGGCCCTGAAGCCCACCGTCAATGACTCCGTGAAGTGACTCCAGCACTGAGTGCAGGCAATAAAGGCTGCTTCCAGGGGACCTGTATCTGGGCTGTGTTCAGCCATATGAACAGGCCCCTACAGCTCTCCCAGTACAGGTGTTCTTTCCCCTTAAAGCAGAGGATCTTGTCTTACTTACTGAAACCACTCAGGGCCCCTTTTGTTCACCAGGACAAGGGGCAGGAGAGGCCCCAGGCGCCCTGTACAGCTGCAGGCTTACACTCAATTAACAAAAGCCACCCAGGGAGCAGGTGCTGGGGATGGCTTGTTTGTCTTCAGGATGCGGGTTGCCAGGGCTCTGTGAACAGCCCTCAGGGAGGAACTTGCAGGAAGATTTTATTTCCTTTTTTTAGATGCCAGCCCTGTCTGGCAGCCTTCACTTGATAACCTGGCCTCTTTCTGAGGACTATGTTCCTTCTTAGGGCCAGGTCCATGGAGGCTGGGAAGGCAGAATTTTAATTCTGAGTGTGCTTCCCCCTTTAATACCACACATTGAACTCTTTCCCTGAAGCACAACACCACACACACAGTGCACTGTGCGCAGTCTCTGCGCCCTTGTCACAGTTTACATATTCAGATGCCACTTGATTAATAGATCTCTCCCAGTTAATAGCACTATCAGGCAAGTCAGGACTCAGTCCGCTCCTGCTCACCACTGAATCCCCACAGTGTGGGTCTCTGCTATATTAGTGACCAGACTTAACAAACAAGTACAAGATACCCACTTGAATTGGAAATTTAGATAATTCAGGAAAATATATCTTGGGTGATACTTGGGACATAGGCTAAAAATTATTGGTCATTTATTGGAAATTCAAATATAACTGTGTATTTTACAGGGCAACCTTTCTTATAACTGGTTTCAATGTTCAGTCCATATATATATATATATATATATATATATATATATATATGAAAGAAGAAATGGATGAGGCTAAGGCATGAACAAAACTAGAAAACTAAAAGCACACATTTCTCTGGAAGCACACACTCATTTTAGGAAGGTGCTGCCATTTTGAAGGATGTTGGTAGGACTACTGGAGAATTTTCATTTTTCTATTGGATTGTTTTTCTAATTGCCTGCAATTGCAGAAAAGTTTGCAAATATCATTCATATATATACATATATATATATATATGTATGTATATAGTATATGTCTACATATGCACAGATTAAACATTAGTATAAAGCTTGTTTAAAAAAGAATTTGGGTTTTCTCTCAGTCCGAAACTGTATTTTTCTAAACACCTGTCCAGAGGTTAGGGTCATTTTGAGCATGGATGAGAAGATTATCCAAAACAATATGGAAAAGTCTATAAGCCACAGCAGTAAAATAGAGAACACAGGTAAGCAGGAGTTAAAACCATATTGCTGTTGTTTTATAAACAATTCAAGACTTCTTAGGAAAAATCAGCTCCCAAGTCTCTTGGGATGTAAAGATAAATCTAACGGTTAAAACCAGAATACAAGTCTTGATTAAATTGCCTATAATATGCAATTTGATGTTTTCAGTTTGATTTGCAAAATGAGAGTAAAAAAACAAAACAAATAACATAGCCCTAGAAGAGAATGAATTAAAGACACTTGCCCCCCCCCCTAACTTTCCATGATGCTTTGGGAATAAGCATCCTTCCAATTTGTTTTTTGGATGACCTTTATATCCATGGAGCAGGGAACTATAAAACTAACATTTGTAAGATTCTATATGCTGGGTCCTGAGCAGAGCATCTTATCACAGTCATGAAAATAACCCTAGTTATACATGTTATCTTCTAACCATGTGATCTAAAATGACAAACTGCTCATAATAACACTTTTATAAGCATTGCAAGATGCTCCATAGTTGTTGAAAGATTCACTTAAAACCACTATACTGTACTTAGTGGGGGCAGAAGATTTTTTTATCAAAGCTTGAAAGGCAAAAGAGTTTTCTACTATACTTTTCAGAATGACCCATTCTTGGTTGCCAATTCTAAAAACATGAGATGTGTTTGTGGGGTAGAGATGGGGTCCTCTTCTCTTCCTCTACCAATGTTGAGATGCCCAGTATTGTTCTTTTGTGAGATTTGGTGTGAGAAGAACAAGAAAAGAATATACATGTGCACACTCACACACACATATACACACATATATGTATGTATATGGATTTATACCACACATATGTATGTATGTGCATGTTACATATGTATATATGTACGTGTGTGTATGTGTACGTATATACATACACATGTAAGTGTGTATATCATGGTGTCACCAGGTCAGCATTCAAGGAGAACAGAATGTTTTCTGGGATGACATCAAGTTGGAAAATAACAGAATTTTTAAACTTTGTCCAGCTTAAAACCTTATACAGCCATGTTTTAGAAACATGGGAATAGAATGATATCAATTTTGGTCACATAGCAACGAGGGACAGGAAGCTACGAAATGACAGCACCTTGTCATTCTTAGAGTGAAGGGGAGGGGGAGGCAATTTGATAAATGCTAAAGAAGACAGAGCTGTATCCATTTTAACTTTTTACATGGCAGCATTTTGAATAGGCCATTCTAAGATGCTGATTAAATACACTGAGGCTGAGTCAAAATTAGACTCTTACCAAGTCTGAGTAGTGCATGAACTATAATAGATCTATTTCCAAGTCGCACAGAACCATCTTCTTTTCAACTGTGGCACAGAGGCTTTGAGAAAATTGTATATTAAGTGAAACTGTGTTAATTAAAGATGGATTGAGGCAGGTTTTATGCACTGATTCCTCCAGAAGGTTGTCCCTAAACACATAGTGAAATCTCAATTATTTTTCCATTAGCATTCTCTAGATAAAGACTTTTTCCTTCCTTTGCTGGTAAGTAAGAACTGCTTGGTATGCATATTTAAATAACAGTCTTACTGAATTAGCTTTAAGAACTGGCTCTTAACATAATGGATGCATTACAATGTAGAGTAAAATGAAGGAGAAACATAAAGACCTCTAAGCACAAGAAAAGAGCAGGAGGTAATAGATATTGCAAGCTTCCAGCCATTTTCTAAGCCTTGAATTATGGTAATGGCATAAGTTAGCTCTAGCTCTGTTCAAACCCACTGGGCAAGAAATGGCACCCAGCCCTTTCCAAGTCACAGGTATATCTGTGGCTGCTTATGAAGCACACTACACAGAAAACAGCTTAATTGCCTATTATTTTAATGAGAAAGTGCTTTGTACAAGTTTCAAAGAACCAATTTCATGTTAACCAAAGAGGCCACACTTTGCACCCAGTCTCTGTTCCACAGGGATAGCTTTATGCAAAAAACTATCATTAGAGTGGAAGTCATCTAACTATTACTTTTCAGTCCATTTAGTTACAATGCTTTAAAAAAAAAAAAAGTAGGGCAAAGGGAACTCTGATGACTGAACTAAGGTGTCTTTATTTTAGAGCCAAAGAAATCGAGGAGATCAAAAACCCTTAAGGAAGATTTATAAATGGATGGCGTTGGAGAAGATAATGCTAAGCGAAGTTAGCCAATCCCCCCAAAACAAATGCTGAATGTTTTCTCTGAAATAGAAGGCTGTCTAATAGTGGAGTAGGGAGGCAAAGTGTGGGAGGATTAGATGAATTCTAGATAGGGAAGAGGGGTAAGAGGGAAAAGGAGCGGGTAGGGGATTAGCAAGGATAGTGGAATGTGATGGACATCATTATCCAAAGTACATGTATGAAGACACAAATTGGGTGTAAACATACTTTATATACAAAGATATGAAAAATTGTGGTATATATGTGTAATAAGAATTATAATGCATTCTGATGTCATTTTTTTAAATCAATAAAAAAAGAAAAGATCTAAATGAGCATTTTGCAAGTACACACCTGCCAATGAGATGTGTTTATGTAATCGTATTTAAGGATGAAATTGGAGTGTCTCTTTTCCCAGGCTCTGTCAAATCACTTACCACAAGTTTACCAGGAAAGGGTGCTCCAGGCCCTGCATGATCTGTAGCTCCTTGAAGACGTTCCTCACTTCATTGCGCTCCACACACTTTTGTTTATTCATGTACTTCATAGCATACATCTTCTTGGTATCATTCTTCTGCACGATGCAGACCTAGGGATACAAACCCAAGTGAGCAAGTGACTAAGGACACAATGGAATGTGGCTATGAGGGACAAAACAGGACCTGTTCCTTATCATGGCTGAGGTGCCCCATCACCTGCAAATTCTCTGATGTTAAAGTCCCCACTTAGCTCTGATTTCAGAGCAAAAATTTCCTTTTCTCCCCCCTGCATCAGATAAATTCTTGAATCACTGCTTTCTCAAACAAGTTGGCTTAGCTTTGCTTCTGGAATTATTTGGACAGCATTTAAATCTGCCTCCATATCAGGAATTGTCTAGTAACAACATCCTTATTCCTGCTTTAAGAGGCTGCAATGGGCATGGCTACATTGTCAAGTTGAACAGTACTGTGCAAACAGTGTCTGTTTACCCCCATAGGGGATGTAAAGAAAAGGACTCAAAGAACTAGAAACATCAAATACAATGTCCATGTTTGTGAAATTTCCTTAGAGGCCCATATAGTACCTGATAAAATGAAATGCAAATTTAATCTGAAGTATGAAATATTATTCTTTAAATATGTCTCCACTGAGAAACTAATAATTGGGGTTTGAATCTGGAAAGTTCTTACAAAATTTAGACTGTATATTTTTTATGGTAGATTTTTGAAAATAAAAGCACGGTACATCTGGGAAAAAGAAAATTGATATCAGGTGCTTCTTTTCTACCGGAAAGAATTAACTCCACACTGACAAGATAACTACTACTGGAGATACAGCTGGTACAATTTGAAAATCATTCCACAATCTTAATATCCATTAGAATAGAGAGCAAAGAGTAGAGAACTCTGGAGAAAGTAAACAGATTCGACTTAAATGAGACAATTCTAAAAACAGGATATAGTTGTCATGTAGCTGCATTTCACATACTTTTTTTAAAATTATGGTGATAATTTCATTAAAAAATCAATTATAAAACTTCTCTGAATTGCTTTTCCAAATGATCCCAATAACTCAATAATCTGAATGTTCTCAAACCCTCTGTTTCTTAAGCTATGCTGCTCTGCTGGTGGTTAATCAATTTGGTTCTCACCTTCCCAAAACTGCCTTTCCCAATGGCTCGCAAAATTTCAAAGTGGTCAAAGTTGACTGCAAAACAACAAAAAAGAAGAACATTATGAGTGATTATCAATTGCTCTTTAGTAGCTAATCAGTAATAAACAAAAATTGGTCTAAGCTGAAATACCATGTTTAAACCCACATGCCAATTCCCTTAAATGCCAATTTATTCATCCAATAAAGACTTATTGGGCACAGTGCTCAGTGCCTGGGAGATATTAATAATCGAGTAAAAATAAAATATATGCTTTATGAAGCCTAAAGTAAATACAGTAGGGGATCTATAGAGATAGACTTATGGATTAAATAGTCATAAAATAAATGGAAAATTAAAACTCATGCAGAATGCTAAGAAAAATAGAGGTTGTAGGGCTCAAAGCACATAGATCAGGGGGTTGGGCACAGGCAGCAAGGTCAGGAGAAATACCTCTGAACACAATGATCATGAATAGAGACCTGGTGCTAAAGGACGGTGGCTCTACATAGGACCAGCACTTTAAAAATATTCTCCTTGTCTACTCTGTCCCTACAAACACTCCTTTTATCTAAATGATTTCAGTTTCCCAAATAGGAAGTCTATGCCCATAAGTCTGCAGAATAAGCTCATCTCCAACGCATAGAGAGCTAACAGATAAGGATGTTTATGTGTACAGAAGTCCATTCAAAAGTGCTCTGAAACTGAGATGACCATCCACATGTGCCAGTTTAAATCTTTGGCTCCTAGCAGTAGGAAGCAGCAGACGTTTAGTGTGCAGGCTGCAAGGTCTCTGAGGTGAAAGCTCATGAATGCTTGGTGATGGGAAGAAAAAAACTCTATAGTTTCTCCCTGACTGGTGACAATCTTTCCTTTCTTGCCCTGATGACCTTGAAAAATATTTGACCTTGTTTACTGGTTCTGAAATAAGAATATAGATGGATAAATTCATATGAGCTATTTTAAGAGTATTTTCAGAAAATATAGTGAAACTCTACAAGAGGCTACTCATCTCTTTGAAAGACCTGCTTTGTCCCTTTTTTTTTTTTTTCAAGAATAATTAGATTATGCCCTTCTGAAGAGCAAAGAGGTGGTAAGGGGTCAGCTGGAGATCTTGCTGAGTTTTCTGAAGGTCAAAAATTTTTATTTTTATAAATGACTTCATTGCCTCCTCTTCTGAACTTCCAAATAAAACCCTACTCAATCACGCAGGGAGTCTGTATTTTATATATCTTACTGGATTTGGAGTCAAAATAACCATATGACTTGAGATAAAAGATAGTCTTTTTGCTCCCCCTGGATTTCCTGCCCCTCAGAACACTCCCAACTCATGTAAGGAGAGGCAAACTCTGCAGTTCCCAGAGTCCAGCACAGTAACTCACACTAGGAGAATTCCCAGAAAATCAATCAAATCAAGCTAAAAGGACACACAAGAGCCCTCAAACAAAGGCTTCTTGTAAATATGAGCCGTGTGAGCATCTGGGTCCCCTAAAGCCGTGTCTTCTAAGCTGTTAGAAATAAAATCAGCAGTCCTAAGAAACAGTAACCTTTTAAATGAAATAGAACAGACTAGAAAGTACCAGAAATGCCTCAAATGAGGTAAGAGTACTATTACCTGGAAAACTTTTGTTTTAGTTTTATGTATGTGTATAGATACGTGATTTTTTTGAACTTGAGTTGGGATCAAAACAATTTATACAATACTTTTATACAGTTTCTCTAGAGTTTCATACTAAAATAAGAAAAGCAATATTTTCTGTACACTTAACGTAAGAGTCTGAGTTATTTACCATAGTAGTGCTGAAAAAAAAAAACTGATCAGAATTTATCTAAGAGTCCAAAGTTTTATCTTGAGTAAATCCAATATCTCAGTGTGATTTTTCAACTAGCAGCCTAGACTCCAATGCTGTAATGATACTTTGAATCTCCAGGCATTATATCTAATATCACTGTGATAGTAATCCATTCCATGAATCATGTCTATTTATAAAGCATTTTATATTTTAATGGAAATAATAAAGGATTACATATTAGGTTCCTAGTAAATTTGCACTAGCAAAACTGCCTAAATTAATATATCCTTCCACTTTTTCAGGTCTTGGAAAAGTGACAGGCCTGATTTAGAGAGGAGGCATCTCATTTATTTCTTTTTGTCTAGTCGGTCAAAGAAAGAGCAGACTCTGGTCCAAACCACACTACCTAATGTTGCTTCCACTTATAACAACACAACCTGGGAAGAGAGCCAGTGGCAGGAGAGAAGTGACAGGAGAGGCTTTTATTGAATCCTTTCTTAAATGCCCAACAACAGAATCACTAGTAAGGAGGAAGCTAATTTGAAAATGGAACCAAACCCCATAAATTCTAACAAAATAAGAAAGGGGGGGAGGGAGGGAGGGAGGGAGGAATTCAGAATTATGAATATTTTGTCAACAGAAATCCAATAGTATTATAGGTATACAGGATGTGCCTAAGGGGGAAAACTTTCTGGTCCTGGACCTGAGCTCTTATGCACTATTTTCATGGTTGTCTTTGTGTTATTCTTAGGGTGTGTCTACTCATCCCAGCAGTAGAATCTGAGGAAGCCACATAGGACTTCTACCTCTCTCCTTTTAGAATTTACATGAGTCAAATCTGATTTTCCAAGACTTTCCCTAAATATAAGAATGTTGATTCTGACACCCAGGTTTGATGCTGTTATTTTCTTTCTACTATTTTTGTTATCACCTCCTAATCTCAACATTCTATGCAATCAACAGTTTTGAAGGAAAGAAAATAGAAAACCCATTTTACAGTTTGGAATTTCACCATGACCCCTGGAATTTAGAACATTCTAGAAGGTAAAGCAGAAATTCTATTTCTTCTTATTTTTGAGGTGAAAATATCTGAAAAACATTTTATTTATTTTCCTAAAAAAATTGATTCCAGCTTTAGTAAGGACCAAATCACAAACATATGGGAGTCTGTTGAGAACAGTACATCTTGCTGTTTATGTAAATCTTTCTATTGAGGACGGAACAAGGACAGCAGCTGTGTGACCCTAGATGAGTTGCTCAGTCTTTCCAAATCACAATGTCCCATCTATAAAATGAAGCTAATTAAACCTAACTCACATGTGGCTTTGAAGATGAGACACTAAACCGGAAGTGTAATGTCTGGCCTACTGAAAACTAAAAATTGCAAATCATTTTTTAAAAAGTACAATTATTCAACGAAAATTAGGCTTCTTTCCTTTCCAAATGTTCAGTTCCTCCCCACAAAGCCACCACTGCTAACAAACTCTTGCATATCCTTTAAGAGATTATCTCTGCATATGTGTATTTTTTGACAGCAAAAGCAATATGCTGTCATTTTCATAGGAGTATAGGCCGCTAAGATCTTTCTAAACCTATTGTCTCTGTTCATTCATACCATCCCTTACAAATATTTTAAACAGCTCCTTTGTTTTCTATTATGTAGTGTAGCATAAAACAGTTTTATCAATGAGATTTGAAAGATGATTTCATTACCACTATTACCATCAATACTACTTCAGATATACTTGATGAGCTCTTGTGCATTTTTGTGGACTAAAATTTATAGAAGTAAATCTGCTGGCGAAAGTATATGCGAATTGTATAGTGTAACAGGTATTGTCAGTAGCACTCCAAGGATGTAAAAAACGTGTAATACAACTTTCTATCCACCATCTTGCCAACACTATGACATCAACTCTCTAGGATTTGACAATGAAAAAGACTGAATTATTGATTTATCATATGTGTCTTTAATAATCAGCAAAGCTGTATATGAGTATCCACGTTTTTTCCAGAAATCTGCCTATTCTCATATTTTTCCTATTGTTATGAGTCATTGGCCTTTTCGATTTGCAAGTGCACTTAAAAATATTAAGTAAGATGGATGCTGTGGTGCACACCTGTAATCCCAATGGCTGGGGACACTGAGGCAGAAGGATCACAAATTCAAAGCCAGCCTCAGCAACAGCGAAGCGCTAAGCAACTCAGTGAGACCCTGTCTCTGAATAAAATACAAAATAGGGCTGGAGATGTGGCTTAGTGGTCAAGTGCCTCTGAATTGAATTCCTGATACCCCCCCCAAAAAATTAAGTAAATTAATTATCTCTTTTAACATCTCAGAAATACTTTTTTCTAAGCCGTCCATTTGGCTTTAAAACATTTTAAGATTGTAGGAGTTTCAAATTTCATAGTCAAATGTATCCATCTTTTCCTCTTGTCCCACTGTAACTGGGTTTTTTTTATCTTCGAGATTGTTTTGAAAACGTGCTTCTCTTTTAAATTAACAGTTTTGACATGGAGTTTTACAGTTGCAAATGCTTTCATTTTTTAAATCTTTTACTCAAATATTTACCTTAGAGTAAATTATGTTGCACTTACTCAAGATGATCAGGATATAAGTTTCTAAATTCCAAGTTTTCAAAACAATTGGTAATTTCTTCATATGCATTCATGCCAATGTGGGTGCTAAGAAGTAGATGCTTCTGAAGTGTTTTGCAAGAATATCCTCTTAAAGTATGTCCCCTGAATCTTGCTTATGCTAATAATTTTTTAGTAAATGTTTTGCTTACACAGTACAATGTTAAATTCCAGTGCTATATGGTCACATTTAGTTGCAGGTTAAACCAGTGCAGTCTGATTAAGTAAGGAGTTCCAAAATCAGGTAAATTCCCCAGAGGAGAGGAAAAATAGTGAAGCAAAAGTCTTAGCTACCCTTTTTTTGTGTGTATTTAATTTGTTACACAATTTTTCTACTTAAATATGACACTGCTTAGGGCTTATAGCAAAGTCAGTTTAACATGAAAGCAATAATTGCTTGGCTGGCCACAGGTTCAGCTCTGCTCTCCAATCTAGAGTACTTGATTTTTCTTTTCTTTTTTCTTTTTAATTTTTTTTCCTTTTCTCCACAATAGCAAGGCTCTGAGAGTAGTGCGATAAAGGCACTGAGACATGGCTCCTTGAACTCGGTTCTACATTCACTGGTAACTCATAATTACTGATTGCTCAGTCAACAACAGCTGGGTATTGTGCTAGGTCCTGGGAGA